TCAAGTACATGGTGTTATCTGGTCGGGTAAGATAGATAAGGTCCAAGCCTACCCCCGCCCAAAGACTGTGAAGCAACTACAGGCATTTGTCAGGCTCCTGGGGTACTGGCGCCCTTTCGTACCCTACTCAGCCCAAACCCTACGGCCCTTGTCTAGGTTAGTGAAGAAAGGAGCAGCGTGGGACTGGGGGACAAAGGAAGAGGTGGCCTTCCAGCAGGCAAAGGTCACTGTAAAACAAATACAGGCCTTGAATGTTCGTGCATGGTCAGCTGTGTGACTCGGACGTAGGCTGTTACCCAGAGGGGTAAGGGTGGGGCCTGTGGCAGCGGCAAGGTAACAAGAGAGTGCCACCGGGATTTTGGTTCCAGCAGAAGAAAGGTACAGCATGTTGGAGAAATGGCTGTGTGTAGCATATCATGCCCTACTGCAGGTGGAACCCTGCTGGCAGAGTGGTTAAGTGCTACAGCTGCTAACCAAAAGGTTGGCATTTCGAATCCACCAGGTGCTCCTAGGAAACTCTATGGGGCACTTCTACTCTGTCCTATGGGTTGCTATGAGTTGGAATCAACTCGACAGCAATGGGTTTTCTTCTTCTTTTTTTTTTTTTAAGTGGAAGGTGCAAGACTGGAAGATAGCAGGGAGGGACCTGTGGGGGGCCAACATGTGGAAGGACATGGCCGACCGACTGCCGGGCATGTCCGCCACAGTGTACCACGTGCCAGCCCACTCCCCTCGGACGCCACTGACCTGTCTCCAGCTGGCTGCAATTCTTCCCGTCCACCTAGCGGACAGGCTTCTGGGTGATAGTGGGACTTTTATTACTATGCCTTTTCCTGTGCTGCCATTCATACTGTGTACGTGCTTTGCTTTTGCAATGCTCCTCGGCATACCAAGTCTGAGGGCTGTCGTGGGCACGGGGGGCGGTAAGATCGCTAAGGACGTAGGGAGGGTCTGCAGGGTGGAATGCAGGGTAATGCTATTCAGCTACATGCATCCCCTCCTAAGGGAGGCAGCTTTGCTCTTCCCCGAAGCATGCCGGAGATGGACTCTAGATGAACTCGGCCTAAGGTACAAGGCTGGGGGTGGTGCGACTGGACCACTGGTCAAGGCCGAGGAGCGCCTTATTGACAAAAAGGAAAACATCTGGGCCTGGACGTGTAGTCCCTGGGAGTGCCGGCTGCCTAGAGACTTGGAAGGAAAACAAATAAGCCTTAGCCCCACCTGGAGCCGTATATAAGCTTTTGTCCCTTGCCCGGCGGTAGTGGAGTGCTACCCTGGTCTACTCGCTGCCCTGGACCGTCCCTCACTAAGTTCCCCGAATAACCCATACGCCCCGATCGCTGGTTCCGGAGTCTTTCTTTGGTCTCTTAGCTACGCAGCCAACCCTGGGTCAGGACGCTGCTGCGTTGTTACCCAACAGGGTTGTTTCCAGTCTGGGGCTATTGTGAACAGAAATACTATGAATATGCTCCTTTTTATGAACTCGTGGACATACGCACTCATTTATCTTGGATGTGTGCTTAGGAGCGGCATTGTTGGGTGTATGTTTATCGTTAGTTATTACTTTTAATGACAATAACAGGCCCCGATATCCTGAGGGATTACTCTGTGCCAGGTGATCCAGGCCCCCATCCGCTGGTCTGTAAAATGCCTGCTCCTCTCTGGGGTCCCAGCTCTCTACAAAGTCTTCCCTGGAGTTCTTCCCCACTGCCCCATGCCCACCCCAAAACCATCAGGCAAAGCCGGGGGTTCCAGTCCCCTCAGGGCCCTGTCTGTTTATGTGATGGCCCATTTCTGTGGTCTCACTACCGGCATAGGAACTGCTGGAGGACCACAGCCCACAGGGTGGGACCTGCAAAGTGTTCCCACAGGGGGCACCCTCCACCCAGGAGGAGAGCACCTTCCTCCCTCCGTCTGTCCACTCAGTTTTGGTGGTTGAGCTGACTGGGAAGAACCGGCTTTGACAAAAGATCACAAACCCTGTTTTTACCACCTAGAAACACCCAGTTTATTTGGTACACTCAGCTGAATGGGAGACGCTGACCGTGTCCAGCCATGGGCCAGTTTGGGAAAGAATTGCCTGATGGCCTTGGCTTATTGGGCATTCACTAAGCACCAGAAATGAGCTTTGCTCTGCACCCCCTTATCTTGTCAAAAATCACAGGCCAGCCCTGAGAGATGGGGGCTATCACCAGTTACCAGTTGCTGGAGGGTTGATTCCGACTCGCGGCGACTCGGTGTGTGGGGTTCCTCCAGTCCCGTTTCTTTCTGAAATGCTTTCTATCTCTCCCTCTGCTTAAAACCCTGCAGTGGTGACAGCCTGCCTGTAGAATGCAGCCCCATCCTTACTCAGTCTGACCCTCGGTGACCCGACCTGCCTCCTCACATTCCAGCTCCCGCCAGGTCAGATGTCCTTATCCCCCAGCCGGGACGCCCCAGCATGAAGACAACCTCCCTTGGTCTTCCCTGGACAGAGCTGCCCGTTCCCCGCTGAGACGCAGGCTGCTCTTCTCTGACCTGTGTGCTCTGCGCAGCCTTCCCTGGGGACTGGCTCTGTGGAGGGGGTGGGGGTCTGATGCACCTGAGTCCCTGGCTTCCGGCATCAGGCTGGCCCACTGAGAATACCTGAGCCAGGAGAGCATGCGCTGTGGGTTCCCAGCACACGCGTGGCTCTGGACACACGTGGGTTAGAGTCTTGGTTCTGCCCTTGGACATGTGTCCTATCTGATATATGCCTCAGTTTCATCTTTAAAATGGAGGTGATTGGTATCTTAAATAAGATAATCTTGTAAAGCGTAGCTTCAAAATGCTAACCAATTACCTTAAAAAGGATAAAAGGAACTTGTAGTAAACTTTCATCTAAAGCACAATTAGAAAAAAAAAAAGGAACTTGGACATGAATGTTCTTAGCAGCACTATTCACAACAGCCCAAGAGTGGAAACAACCCAAGTGTCCATCATCAGATAGCAGAGATTACCCAATAAGCAGGGTACTCGTACACGTGGGCTTAATTGTGCTTACTAATCTGTAGTGCACAATTTCACCTGGTTTTTACTGCATGTGAAATTGTGCACAAGAGATTGTTAGGCGCCATTGAGTCAGTTCCAACGCATAGTGACCCCACGTACAACTGAAAAAATACTACCTGGTCCTGTACCATCCTCACAATTTTTGCTGTGCTTGAGCACATCTTTGCAGCCACTGTGTCACTCCATCTCATTGAGGGTCTTCCTCTCTTTTTTTCTGACCCTCTACCAAGCATGATGTTCTTCTCCAAGGACTGGGCCCGCCTGATGACATGTCCAAAGTACATGAGAGGAAGTTTCACCATCCTTGCTTCTAAGGAGCATTCTGACTGTACTTCTTCCCAGACAGATTTGTTCATTCTCCTGGCAGTCCATGGTCTATTCAATTTTCTTCATCAACACCACAATTCAAAGGCATCAGTTCTTCTTTGGTCTTCCTTATTCGTTGTCCAGCTTTCACATGCATGTGAGATGATTGAAAATACCATGGCTTGGGTCAGGTGCACCTTAGTCCTCAAAGTGACATCTTTGCTTTTTAACACTTTAAAGAGGCCTTTCCCAGCAGATTTGCCCAGTGCAATATGTCGTTCAATTTCCTGACTGCTGCTTCCATGGGTGTTGATTATGGATCCAAGCAAAATGAAATCTTTGACAGCTTCAATCTTTTCTCCATTTATCATGATGTTGCTCATTGGTCCAGTTGTGAGGATTTTTGCTGTCTTTATGTTGAGGTGTGATCCATACTGAAGGCTGTAGTCCTTGATCTTCATCAGTAAGTGCTTCAAGTCCTCTTCGCTCTCAGCAAGCAAGGTTCTGCGCTACAGATTAGTAAACACAATGAAGCCTGTGCATACCTTGCTTACTGTAACCCAGTGCATACCATACTTACTGGTTAATCCATCATCGTGAATGGATAAACACATTGTGGTCCGTCCACGCCACAAAACATTTATTTGGCCATAAAAAGGAATAAAGTTTTGATGCATGCTACAACATGGATGAACCTTGAAAAGATTACGCTGAGAGAAGGCAGACACAAATGACCGCATATTTTATGATTCCATTTATACGAAATGTCCAGAGTAGGCAAATCCAGACAGACAGAAGGCAAGATTGGTGATTGCCAGGGGCTGGAGAGAGAGTGTGTGTGTGTGTGTGTGTGTGTGTGTGCGTGTGCGTGTGCGTGTGCGTGTGTGTGTGTGTGCGTGTGTGTGCGCGCGCGCGCGCGTGCGGGCAATGGGAAGTGACTGCTTTCCGTTTTGGGTGATAACACTATCGTGGAATTCCACAGTGGTTGTACGACATTGCAGTGCGCTAAATGCCACTAATGGTAAATTTGTTGGTATGTGCATTTTATCACACAAAAAGCAATGCATGTAAAAGAATAAAAGACTGCAAAACTCAAAAGAGCAGTTAGGTAACGCGGTAGTGAGTTTATGTTAATGGCGGAGGAACAAGTCAGAAAAGGAGGGTGAGGATGGCTGCACAACTTGAAGAACGTAATCAGTGTCACTGAATTGTAAATGTAGAAACTGTGGACTTGGTGTCTGTTCCGCTGTGTATAGTCTCAACAACAACAGCAAAAACTTAAAAACAAAAGCTTTGCAAAGCCAACCCTAGTCTCTCCCGGCCCCGCCCCCAAGCTCGCCCCTTCCCGTTCCTGCCCCAGCCCGCGGCCATTCGGGCCTGGCCACGCCCATCCCATGCGTCCTCCCCAGGCTCCGCCCCTCCGCCTGCCAGTCGGCTGCACCCTAACCACGCCCCCTCCCAGAACGTCCCGCCCCGGCCCTACTCTCTGCGAGCCTGGCCGCGCCTCTGTGGCTCCAGGCCCCACCCCTCCTCAACTCCGCCCCGCCGCCTGGCCGTCAATCTCTCACTGGCCCCGCCCCAGCCCCGTCTCGTCGTTCCCTCTCGCTCGTCTCGGCGCGGCCCGTTGTTATGACGACACGGTCGTAAATCCGCCATCTTCCTGCGGCGCGTTGCGACATGGAGGGCGCGATGGCAGTGCGGGTGACGGCCGCTCATACGGCAGAAGCCCGGGCCGAAGCCGGGCGGGAAGCGGGCGGGGGCGGAGTCGCGGCGGCGGCGGCTGCCTTGGCCCCCGGCGGCTTCCTCGGCCTCCCGGCGCCGTTCAGCGAGGAAGGTAACGGGGGCCGGCGCGGCTGGGCGCGGCCGGGTTGGGGGCGGCTCAGCCCCGGCTCGCGGAGGCCCCGATGGCTGGCCTGGCGGGCGTGACAGACCCTCCCAGTCCCGGAGTCCTCGCGGACTTCATGGACCCCGCAGAGCTCCACGAGGCCCCCAGGTTTCCTCAGACACCCACGAGCCGCTTCTGCAGGGCGCCGCTCACCCTGTGAACCCCCGTGCCTGCTCACGGATGCTCACCGCTGCCCACGCTTCGGGCGCTCGCCGTGTGAACCTTTGCAACCCACTCCCCGCGCCGGCCGGCCCTGCTCTCCTCGGGACCTCAGCCAACCCCCTCGGCTTCCTTGTGCTGAGCAGGGTCCCCTCCCACTGTACCTGAAGGGCCACTGGGGCCCGGGTGGAGCTGGAGGCTGCAAGGGGGAGGGGCCTTGGGTCTCCCCAGGCTCCGGGCTGCGGGCTGGAGCTTGGAGAGGTAGCAGAGCCCCTGGTGGAGTGACATGCACGCAGCAAGTTTTTGCCTCTGTCGCAAACCTGCCACTTGCTAGGTCTTTGATCCTGAGCAGGTGACCACACCTGTCCGAGTCCCTGTTTCCCCTTACAAAACGAGGCTGCTGCTGCTGCTAATTATGTGCCAAAGACTTAGGTTCTGTCCACTCTTTTATCCTCAAACCGACCTTGAGACATGGGTATTATTATTCCTATTTTATGAATGAGGAAAACTGAGGTTCAGAGACTTGGAAGTGACTGTGTCAGGTCACCCAGCTGGACTGAGTCCTCGAAGTGTGTCGCTCTCCAACCCACTCCCTTAACTTCTGGGTTCTGCCACCTCATAGGACTTTGATGGTGAGGATGAGAATAGAGCGTGCATGTAAAGCCCAGAGACCAGTACTGGGGACCCAGCAAGGGCTCAGTCCCAGGGCACACGTCGCTTTCAGAGGCCCAGCTTGGGTCTCCACCTCTGAGCTTGTCCCATGAGGCTGCAGATCGGACAGACAGGAAGGGAGCTGGCTAGTGGTATTGGGGGTGGTCTTTGTCCCTACAGGGGACATTTTTTTTTCTGGCTCCTTCTTATTCCAGCTTGCAGAAGGGCAGTACCACTGGGGGCAAGCCAACCTGGGGAGGGATCCCTTTGGAGGTTGTTGTGCCCTGCCCTGTTGTGGCCTCGTCTCAATACGAACTGGCCCAGGTGTGCTCCCTCCCAGGGCCGGGGGCGCCTTCAACAGCAACACGCTGGTGTCGAGTCAGACTCCCAGAGTGGGATGCTAAGAGGGTGGTGGGTGCCTCAGTGCTTGGCTTGTGGCTTTGAGCCACCTGGAGGGGACCTCCCTCTGCCAAACGACTGTCTGTGGGCAAACTGTGGCTTGACCCTTTGCTTAGTCATTAATCCAACAAATCCCAGCTGGGTTCTTCCGAGGTTACAGACCTTGGCTTTGACCTTGGTGTGGGAGTGAACCGGAGGTGGCGGAACTGGCCAACTTCTACGGAAGCAGAAGGGGCATCTTCCTGTCCCATCGTGCAGTCAGCAGGGTGTCTGGAGTTGACCCTGGGGTCAGGGCTGGCCCTGCTCACACTAGCTGGGGAACACTAAATCTCAAATTGTTTTTCTAGAATGGGAATGAGCATCTCCACTTCCCCAGGGTGCTGCTGGGGTTTGCTGAGGTCTCTGTGGGGTGCCGGGCACACAGTGGGGGAGGGGGGGCCATTAAATGGCAGTCTCTCCTGATGGTGGGGGGCTTAGGTGGGGGGGGCCTTGGGGCACAGAGTACTCTGCAAAGCCCCACCCTTGGCGTCTCACCTGACGCCACGTTCACCCCAAGTCAGAGTGAGAAGGATGGTTACCCCGCCCCCCCATCCACCTCAGCTGTGCTTGCCCAGTGCTGTGGGCATCAGTCCCCAAGTCCCCGTTGTTCCCTGAGCACAGGGGCTGCGGCGGGCCCATTTTACAGATGAAGTGATGGTAGCTGAGGCCCCAGGGCACACACCTCATAACCCCAGCAGTCTTCAGTCCTGTCCCCCATCATCTCTGACTCGATTGGGTGAATCCCCCACCCTCTTCCTGAACCCCTCCCCTCATCTCTGAAGTGAGAGTCTCAGTGGATTCCTACAGCCTAAGGGGCTAGCCAGGGGCCCCGCTGCTGGGGGCACAGGCTGCCTCTACTGACCCTGAGGGCGGAACCGGCCCCCTGCCCCCTCCCCGCTAAGTGTGCTCTCAGCAGCCTCTGGGAGGGGGAGGAAGGGGTCTCTGAGTCTGATGCCATCCCCGCGGGGCTTTGGCCCAGGGCTGGAGGGGCAGTGGGCGGGCCTGGCCAGCAGGCCTTCTCCCCTGGGGCCCCACTGATGGCAGCCCTTGGCAGATGAGGACGATGTGCACAGATGTGGCCGCTGTCAGGCCGAGTTCACCACCTTGGAGGACTTTGTCCAGCACAAGATCCAGAAGACCTGCCAGCGGGCCCCTCAGGACACTTTGTCTACCACCCCTGCGGCTGCTGCACTGCTGGGCCAAGAGGTGAGTGCCCCGCCCACTGCCGTCAGGTCGCGCGCTCACGCCTGTGCACCGCACCGTCCCTGGGTATGGCTGCCGGTAGGGAAGGAAGAATGCCAGGCAGACCTGTGCAGCTGGTTCCCTGGTGACAGGTGGGCGGCCACCCTGCGAGGGGCTCTGGGCTCTGCTGCCCATAGCAGCCTGGCCTAGCTGTGCCGGGAAACCTTCTCGGCAGCCTCAGGCCGCAGCCTGCACAGCTGGGGCCTGGGGTCTCGCCTTTCTTGGAGCCTGAGGATCTCCTCTGACTTGGGGGTTTCAGGGCAGCTTGTCTTTTGCCCAGTACACCTAGTTCCTGGCAACCCCACCAGCAAAGCAGGGTCCTGGGGACCCCACCACCCCATAAACGTGGCTGGCTTTGCTGAGCCCTGGCGACATGCTCGAGCTGTTAAATTCCACAACACCCCATGGGTGTGAGCGCGCCTCAGTCTCTTTATTCAGAGCCGGCTTTATTCAGAGAAGTCAGTGGCCTCAGGCCCCTGGCAGGGGTGTGGCCCAGATGACATTTGACCCTGGGTTGTCTTGCTCTGACCCTGTGCTCTTCGCCTGCTCCCTCCTAGAGGCTCCCCCTCCTCTGGGAAGCCTCCAGCCCTGCGCCGTTTCTCTGAGCACCTGGCGGAGGCTAGAGGTGGAGGTGGAGCCTTTATCCCTGCACAGCGAGCGAGCCTCACCCAGAGCTGCTGACTAAGTCCTCCAGGGGGCCTCCCTGTGGGTTTTAGGGCGATGGGGCTGACCCTGGGTTGAGGGGCCAGGCTGGAGTTGGGCTCAGGGCTGACCCCACAGCCGAGTGCCGACAGGCCCAGCCTCATCTTGGGGGCTCTGGAGCCTGATGACGAGTCTCCTCTGCCCTGTCCCCGTTGCAGGTGGTCCGGGCGCCAGCCCCAGAGGAGCCCATTGCCGTGGCCCACATCGTGGTGGAGGCGGCCTCTCTGGCGGCAGACCTCGGCCACGCACCCGACATCGTGGGTAAGTGGGACCGTGTGTGGCTTTCTCGGGGCTGAGGTTCGCTGACCCGATGACCATCATGGCCAGGGCTGGAGGACGGGCCTGTCACTGAGCCTCCGCTTTCCCAAGGGCCGGCCTGTGAGGCGGGGACTGGCGCCTTGTGTGAGCCTTCCTGGGGCAGCACTTGGAGGAGGGGTGAGGCTCCTCACAGCGTCCATGTGGCCCAGTGGCACTTGGGCCCAGCCGGGCACTAGGGTGCCTCCACTTCACGGGTAATGGCGAGCTGGCTGCTGTCCTGCTCACGTCCCCAGCCTGGCTCTCTGCCCTGGTCCTCCCGGAATCACCTCCACTCTGCCACCCTCTTGGGTCCTGCTTCCTGCCTCCCAGCCAGCCCCAACCTGGGCTCTGCTCAGCGCGCCCCTCACCCCTGGCAGGTGGCTCTGGAGGGCTGGTGTACACGTAGAGGGTGCCAGCAGGGGGCAGCACCCTCTTTTCCAGCCCAGCCAGACTCGCTGCCCGGCCTCGGCCTTCACCTGCCCGGCGCCTTTTGCTCCGGCGTGGGGAGATGATTCCTGCCTTGACTCTCACGGGTTTTTCTGAGCGTAGAGCGCCATGTCAGGCGTATAACGTCACGTCAGGTCTCTTTGATGGCTTAATTTGTCTTCAGTTAAACCGCCACGCCGATGCGCCGTGGTAGTGGGGGTGTTACGAGAGGGTTGCAGGGGTCAGGCTCTCATTAATGGGGGACCAGGTAGGGGGTCTGCAAGGGAGACATTTCAAAGGCAGCTGGGGTGTGGGAGGTGGAGGGAGTGGGGCTGTCTCTCGGGAGGTGTGAGTGGCTGGGCCCGGGGCGGAGTGTACAGACACCTGTGGGATGTGGTTTGGCCCGATTGAGCAGGAAGTTGGGAAGGGATGGTTGCTCCTTGGGGTGCCTGCCGGGTAGGTGGATGAGTGGGCATCTGGGCAGGAAGTGGGTTTTGGCAACAGGTAGAACTTGGTCTTGGGAAACCCTCGGGAAGGCTGCGGCAGGAAGAGCGGGGAGGAGACCTGGGGGAGGCTGGCCTCAGGCTCTGCCAAGGTGCCACCTCAGGGAGGCGGCTTGACACCTGTCCTCCTCCCGACGCTGTCCTTCCCCGACATCCCTGCAGCAAGCGACATTCACGTGTAGTCACTCTGGGAAGGAATGTTGTTCGGGGGTGGGCCGCCCTGCTGTCCTGGCGTGGGCCTCTGTCTCTGGGTGGGTGGCATCACTGGGGAAAACGAGCCCCTGGTCTGGGTGGTATCTCCAGCTCCTGGCCTCTGGCCAGCAGGCCCTTCCCACTACCCCAACCTGCAGATACTCCAGGTGCTCCTCTTGGCTCCCGGGGCTCCTCCCAAGGTGCCCTTGGGATTTTCCCCCCCTTTCAAGCCTCTTGGGTGCCCTGCATGTGCCTCTTGGTGGGCACGCTAGTCAGCTTCATGCAGAGAAGGACGGAATCAGAGTTTTGCACTGCCAGCCGCCGGCCTCCAGTGTGGGGGTGGGGTGTGCCCGGCTCAGCCGTCGCTGGTGATGGCCACTGTGTGTGGACGTCCGGGGTGGCTGGGCACCACCCGCAGGCCTGCCTGCCCTTTACTGGAAATACCACGTCCTCTGGCCACATCGACAGCCACGTCCCCTGCCTCCTTGTCCCCTCTGTCTGCTCTGCCAGCACCCCGCTCTGGCTGCGGCCAGCCAGAGGCTTCTGTCCTTGGTGAGAGATGACTGTGGGTCGGAGGGAAGCTGCAGGACTCGGATGCGTTGGTCCTGTCTCAGCGTGCCAGGCAGGGCTCAGGCGACACATGCCCTTAATTGTTCCTGAGTCACGGTGCCTGCATCCTTATCCGAGAGAATGGCTTGTCAAAACAAGATGCCAGCGATCAGGAAGTTTTGAGAAGTGGCTTTACAGCCGTTTCCGGCCCGTCACTCTCACGAGCAGACTGTGAAGTGTGTTTACAGCTCAGCTTTGCACATTGTCGTGTTTCCACAACACCCGACAAGTAGGAAAGCCCAGCTTCTACTTCCCAGGCTCACCCAGGTGCGTGGTGGTGTTGGCGCTCCCAGGCGGAGCCCAGCAGCCGGCCAGCCCTCTGAAGCCACTTCCACACTGAAGGGAGCCGGGCAGCGGGCCAGGCAGGGCTGTGATGGGCTGCCCCGGTCACTGTCCCCGTGCACCCAGCACTCCCTCCGTCCTGGGGGGTGCCAGCCAAGCGGGCGTCTAGTCCTTGCTCCTTGGTGCTCTTGGCATGGGATGCATGGCGTCTGTGCTTATGGTGGATGTCCCACCCCGGACACATCTGGGGGCCCTGGGGCTCCTGAGTGACCTGGGGGTGAGCAGTTCCCTGGCTGCCCTTGGGGCGTCTGCGTCAAGTCTCCCCAGTGCTGGCTAGGTCTGGGCTTGGCCCAGGGCGGTGGGTTCCATGGTGGGGCCAGTGGGTCCAGGCAGCTCCACGGCCACTAGCAGCCTTCGGGGCACCCCGTGGAGGCGGCGGATTCTGCCGGGGTCCCCACGTTCAGGCGAAAGGTGACGGGCAACCCACCTCTTCTCAGGCGGTGGGCACATCAAAGAGGTGATAGTGGCAGCTGAGGCGGAGCCGGGGGCCGGCGAGGTGGCCGAGGCCCCAGGCAGGCCCAGCAGCCAGGTGCTCGCTGGGGATGGGGAGCCGGCCCAGGTGCAGCTGCTGGTGAACAAGGAGGGCCGGTATGTGTGCGTGCTGTGCCGCAAGACCTTCAAGACGGTGAGTCTGGGGCGGGGCCGGGGGTGGGGGGCTCCCCTCCAACCGGAGGTGCCCTGAGCCAGCTGCCCCTCCCCCCACAGGGCAGCATCCTCAAGGCCCACATGGTCACCCACAGCAGCCGCAAGGACCACGAGTGCAAGCTCTGCGGGGCCTCCTTCCGGACCAAGGGCTCGCTCATCCGGCATCACCGGCGGCACACGGGTGAGTCGCGGGCGGGGGCCGGCGCCTCGTGTGGGCGTCACGTGCAGCCCCCCCCCCCCGGTGCCGACCCCGCTCTCCTTGTAGACGAGCGCCCCTATAAGTGCGCCAAGTGTGGGAAGAGCTTCCGGGAGTCGGGTGCACTGACCCGCCACCTCAAGTCTCTCACCCCGTGCACGGAAAAGATCCGCTTCAGTGTGAATAAGGACGCGGCCGTCGGCAAAGAGGAGGGGCCCGCAGGTCAGCCAGGGCCCACGTGCTCCTTCGGGGTGGCCCTCCCTGGGCCTGGCTGCTTCGAGGCCTCACTTGGCTGTGCCTTTAAGGGTCAGGTGCTGCCGGCGTGGGGGCGCTTGCGTCGTCTGCGGTGGCGGGCGAGCCCATGGAGACGTCGCCCGTGATCCACCTGGTGACAGATGCCAAGGGTACCGTCATCCACGAAGTCCACGTGCAGATGCAGGAGCTGCCCCTGGGCATGAAGGCCCTGGGCCCGGAGGTGGGGGCTGGGGGTGACAGTGCTGGGCCCAGGGGTAGAGGCTGGGGGGTGACGGTGCTGGGCCCGGAGGTGGGGACTGGGGGGTGACAGCCCTGGGCCCGGAGGTAGAGGCTGGGGGGTGACGGTGCTGGCCTCGGGGTGGGGGCTGGGGGGTGACGGCGCTGGGCCCAGAGGTGGGGACTGGGGGGTGACGGTGCTGGGCCCTGAGGTGGGGCCTAGGGGGTGACAGCCCTGAGCTGGGGGGTGAAGGCACGAGATGACCCCAAGGCCCTGGTCCACAGGGTCCCCTTGGCCTGGTGTGTGTCTGCTCTGTGAGGTAGGTGGGTTGGGTGCGGTATGCTGGGCTGCCTGGCCAGCCTGCCCCCTCTGCCTTGCCCACAGCCCCCCGGCCCTGAGGAGCTGCCCTCTACTGGCGAGGGCGACCCCGAGAACCTCCTGCACCAGGCCATGCAGAACTCCGGCATCGTTCTCGAGCGGGTGGCGGGGGATGAGGGGGCCGCCCTGGAGCCAGCCCCTCCCACTGAGCCCAGTCCCCAGGCCCTGGGAGACGGTCCCCCGGAGCTGCCACTGCTGGCTGTGGAGCACACAGAGACAGTAGGTACCCGTGCTGCAGGCATGCTCCTTTGGGGCCAGCCTGGGTGCCTCATCCTCCATGGTCACCAGCGCTGTGGGGACGGTCCATTGATCGGTTTACTTGCCCTGTATGATGGAGGGTGCGAGGGTGGGGCCGTGGGACTTGCTCTCCTCGGTACCGCTGGGACCCAGTCGGGGCCCGCCCAGGGCGGTGTGAGGTGACCTGTGGTCCCCCAGCAGGTGGCCAGCGAGGCTGCAGGCGTGCCCAGGACCCACCCGTGCCCTCAGTGCAGTGAGACCTTTCCCACGGCCGCCACGCTGGAGGCCCACAAGCGGGGCCATGCAGGTGGGCGGTAGGAGGGGAGTGGGTGGCCGGGGGGTCCAGGGGCATTGAGTGACCAGGGTGCCGCTGCCATGCGTGTCCCCAGGGCCGCGGCCGTTCGCCTGTGCGCAGTGTGGCAAGGCCTTCCCCAAGGCCTACCTGCTCAAGAAGCACCAGGAGGTACATGTCCACGAGCGGCGCTTCCGCTGCGGGGACTGTGGGAAGCTCTACAAGACCATCGCCCACGTCCGCGGCCACCGGCGCGTCCACTCGGACGAGCGGCCCTACCCCTGTCCCGAGTGCGGCAAGCGCTACAAGACCAAGGTGGGCCCTCCGGCCCCGGGCCCTGGGCCTGCCCTGGCTCTCCCGGCCCTGGGCCCCGGACCCCCGCCTTCCCTCGAGGCCCCCTCCCTCCCCCAGCCTCCACTTTCATCTGGGTCGGGCCCCTCGCCCCTGGCCGCCCCAGGTCCCTCCATGACAGGTGGGTGGGAAAGCGAGGCGGGCCGGCGCTGACAGCTGGTCTCCGCAGAATGCCCAGCAGGTGCACTTCCGGACACACCTGGAGGAGAAGCCGCATGTGTGCCAGTTCTGCAGCCGCGGCTTCCGAGAGAAGGGCTCGCTGGTGCGGCACGTGCGGCACCACACCGGCGAGAAGCCCTTCAAGTGCTACCGCTGCGGCCGCGGCTTCGCCGAGCACGGCACGCTCAACCGGCACCTGCGCACCAAAGGTCTGCGCGGGGGCGGGGCCGGCGGGGCCGGGGCGGGGCC